ACGGTCAAAAGTAAGGGTCATTTGAGCCAGGGGAGTCATTTGGGCCTACGATGGTGGAGTGGTCTGAGCCGCGCGGAGTGATCTGAGTCTAGGCCCAAGTCACTCTAGAGTGATCTCATCCCAGGGAAGTGTGTTGGGCCTCCTCCGCTGTAATAACTGTAATACTGTTCAAAGCGGCGTTAAGACAAATTTGCTCATCCATATGCGAGAAGGCAGGAATGTCTAAATTGAGTCCGATGCAGTTCCCTATTTTAACTTGTACCCGAGTTGTACCATATATTTCAGACGGACACTTGACTTGCCTTTGCATGTGTTTGTGACGGGTGCCATCGATGGGGCAAGATACTCTCACCATTAAGATTGAACCGCTCTGTGATGATGATTCATAAACACCTGCTAATGATAAAGTCGGAATCGTAGAATCGACTCTGTTGTTAGCAGAGATTTCTCATAAATATTGAAAGAGTTTTGTCGCATTTCTTAACATACAGTGTGCAGGCCCTGTTAATCCGAAGGTTCTCGTACCCAGTATATATTCCTTTGTGCCACATAATTACAATGTATATTACATAAAATGTCTAATGATCAGGGTTTCTTGAAGGGGTACGAGACTATATAGCCATATCATATTCGCTACAGAACTGGTGTTTGTATTGACATTTACACGATTTAAATGTCACAGCTATCATACAAATGAACACAAAATAAAAAAATACGGTAAACCCACCGTTGCTTTTCCTGACTCAGCAACCAAGCAAACTGTACAAGCTGTGCATTTTCTGACAAAACAACTATCACGATTCAATAGCACTGAATTTTGGGTCGATGAATTGCGAAATCCAGCTTAAATTTAAATGATTTAATATTTCCTGAGCAGGTTTACAGGTTATGTACATATAGAGCGATGTGCGAACGTCACGCGTGTTTGCCACTTAGATACCGATACCGATCTACTTGTCAAACTCTGTAACACAATACATGCACACACGATTTAGTTGCCAGCATCTTGTAGGCTCAACATGCGCCAAATGGATCGAGTGGTCAAGCTGGCTGTGTGTCATCGTACCCCGACACGAGTATTTTCAGACCTGGGATTACAAACATTATGCAATAGGACGGACGAGGGTGTGTACCGGGCATCCGGCTAGCGCACACTACATCAGATATGTGGTCGCCTACGCGTTGAATAGTATGTCAGTCTTTGACCTGTAGAACAATTTAAACAGTAATCTTTTCATTTCTTTAATTATAACTTTCCAGACTTCGCCGTTTTATTGCCTCAGTCAGTGAATGCTTGCCTAGCTATAAACTGTTGCACAAATTTAGAAGCAGACAGTTTTAATGATTGACTCATAAATTCTAACCGCCGCAAAGATAAAGAACAAATATCACATCCTAGTAACACATTATTGCCGTAAGAGCAAACAAGGGTGGTCATAAATTGTGCCTATGCTTATGTCGTTATACTCCGGGAGCGTGGGTCTTTGCAACCTTTGTTACCAGTATGTTATGATTCGACGACTCACAGGCAGCCATCATGTATAATATAGACATACTAGTGCCATCAGAAATTAAAACAAGTTCTACTCACTTTAATCCGAAACAACACCTGGTCCATTGTCTTCTCAAATACAAAATGGTTTAAAATGGCATGTAACTCACACAAATATATCAGTGTTAAAAGAAAAGATAGAATTTTCATTTGGAACCGCATTCTTCACATCCCATCTACGTGCGTACTCTACAGACCTTGGCCCGTTTGCACAAAACTATCTTAGCGTTAAGACTTGTGTAGTATAGGTGCATTAGCGATACGCTCGACTTGTGAGAGTGAGCTTTTCTCTGCTACTCAGCTTCACTTTAGGAGATATTTAATTGAATAGTGAGGCCAATAGTAATGTTCCGAATATACGCGGAGCAAAGTCGTAATGTGGTGTCCAGCAATAGCCGCCTGTTGACTGGTCCGCCGTGAAGCGGAATATATGTAGTCGTGAAGCATGTCAGTTTTGCCTGTGATGAGGTGAGGTGACATGGGGTTTAACGTCGCGTCCAAGATTATTGCACTTATATAGCGACGTGCATGTACGTGTGCGTGTTTGTGTGGCTGCTTGTACTAGTCCGGACTGATGCCGATTTATAGTGCTAGCTCACTGAGATACCATGCCGCAGTTTAACATGAATACCCCACGCAGACACAGTATACTGACTCCGAGCCGACCAGGCCTTGTTTTAGCCCCTTAATGCCGAGCGCCAGACAGGGTAACAACAAGTACCATCTTTTAACGTCTTTTGGTATGACGCGGTCGGGGATCGAACCCGGACCTTCCGCTCTCCGGGCGGACGCTCTACCACTAGACCACGGAGGCGGTTGCCTGTGATGAAGACAGGATAGGGATGTGTCCGCGGTGCTTCATATATGGTTTTTACCAGTCATAATATCAGTTGTCTGCCAGCTCCTGAGTCAGCCGCAGGGAATGCTGTGTGACAGCTGTGTTTGTTGTGGTGTCTGGGTTGACACTGTTTACTACACAGCTCAGTCGTATCATGCCGTGTTACCGTGATGTGCGAGGAAAGTTCAAAATGGAGTTTTGTTTTTCGTTTGTTGTTTAACGCCGCACTCAGCAATATTCCAGGATATATGACGGCGGTTTGTAAATAATCGAGTCTGGACCAGACAATCCAGTGATTGACATCATGAGTATCGATCCACGCAGCTGGGTTACGATGACATGCATCAACCAAGTCAGCGAGCCTGACCACCCGATCACATTAGTCACCTCTTACGGCAAGCATAGTCGCATCTTACAACAAGCATAGTCGCCTCTTACGACAAGCATAGTCGCCTTTTACGGCAAGCATAGTCGCCTTTTACGACAAGCATAGTCGCCTTTTACGACAAGCATAGTCGCCTTTTACGACAAGCATAGTCGCCTTTTACGGCAAGCTCAAAATGGTGCAGATGGTGGTACATTACCACTTTGGTGATACACGCTGCGGTACGGTGATTATCCACTTTCCATTATCCGGAGTACTATATTTCCATTCCATTATGATCAAAACACATTCGTCACTATTGCTTTGTTTGGAAGTGGCGACACCAGCTCACTTCCTCTTATCACAAACTTAGAACACAATTTCTCTTGCGCGTAAGCTTGAAATCAACAACCAATCCAAATACCTCTGTTGAAGATCGCTTTGGATATATACACTGAGCCCTCCATGTATCTCAACGAATGAAAAGAGTGTTATACGTTATTGTTTGGGTGGAAAAATTATGCTTTCCAAAGTACTAAGTAAGTGTGTTAGTGAGCGAGTATGGTTTTACGCGGCTTTTAGCATTTCCAGCAATATCACGGCGGGGGACACCAGAAATGGGCTTCACACATTGTACCCATGTCGGGAATCGAACCCGGGTCTTCGGCGTGACGAGCGAACGCTTAAGCCACTACGCTACCCGACCTCCCCCTAAGTAGTAAGACAAGTTGGGGTGGGGTGGAGGGATGGGGGTCCTTATTCTACCGAAAATGTTTCGGTTGTGTTTGCGGTGGCACGCAAAGGTTGAGACGAGAAGTGGGGATATTGCTGCTCGTTTGCATTTGATTCCGATTTGACGTCCATGTTTAGTATCGTGCCATTCAAACCGTCCTGAAACGACCCTCGCGAATGGGTCCAGTTGATATATATTATAATAGAATGGAGACATACTAAACTGGATAATCGACGATATTGATATAAAGATTCATAACAAATCTAGTTTCCACTACCAACGAGCAGAGCATAGCACAACTAAGGGCCGCAACTCTGATGAGTGAAACATTACGGCGCCATAGACCACAGGGCCACTCTTGACCAAGTGATATATGTAGTGGCTATTGTAGATTTAATAAACATTACTTTTATCGATTTATTCTTTCAAAGCATGTCTTTTACAATGGGAAAAGGTATATTGTAGCGACATAGATTAAAGTTTGAAGTCAACCCACCCCTGCCTTCAGTGGCTATTAATACACACTTGAAAACAAGTTGAATTTTCATTACCTTAGCAATATTTATTGTAAATAAAACATTATTCTACCTCAATTCGATCATGATTTTATATAGCAAGCTGCATGCACGCGTTTGTGTGTGTGGTTCATTGTACCAATCCGGACTAATGCCGGTTTTATTGTACAAGCCCACAGTCGCAGTTTAACATGGGTATCCGTCTCATTTAAAGTACACTCCGAGCCGATCAAACCTTATTTTATCCTCTTAATGCCAAGCGCATGGGAGGGTAACAACAAGTACCTTCTTTTAACGTTGTTTGGTATGACGCGGCCGGGGGTCGAACCATCAACCTCCCGCTCTCCGGGCGGACGTTCTACCACTTTACCACGTAAGTGGTCGTTCTTATGCTGGGAACAGACAGCACTCGTCTGGTGTTTCTCTTGCGCAATACGGCATTAGTAACACGATATAACGCTGAGCCCAGGTGTGTACCAGATGGCTGGCGATAACAACCTTTATAACAGACGAGTCTCGTCTGGGTCAAATCTAGAATATAATACACCCAAATTACAAAAACTAACATCCGACATATTCCCTCATATTACTTTACACATCTTATGAATCTTCCATGCAGTTCTTTTCTTACCGCGGATCATGTCACTGGAGCCACTCTGATCAATAGTTTTGTCTTCAACATATTTCTACGGAAGCCGGGAGCCTTTTCAGACCATTTGTTGTTATTTTTGTGTGTGTTTTTCTCTCGAAATACTAAGATATCTCAAGATACTAAGTTGAAATTTTAAGATTTAAAATTGAAATTTCAACGTATGTATCTTGAAGTTTCAACCTAGTATCTTGAAATTTCAAGAACCAAAAACAAAAAAACAAGTGGCCTTAAAAGCCTTCCGTACATTTGACACATACAGCAGCCAATTCTAAGTGCTACTCGTTCTGAACGTTCGATAATTTTATTGCAAATGAAAGCATGGCAGATTTAGGGCCGAGTCATTTATTATCCTTATAACGAGGCGACCGTGTTCACTCTGAAGTCGGGTGGGTTTCGGGTAAACACACGCATGACAATAGTAGGCTAACAGCTTTAAAGATAAGAGATCCCGGTCGTGGAGCCGGCCGATAAGGATCATGTGTCATACCAGCATATTTTATGCACCACGCTGAGTGGGCTCTCACATGGTGACTTACGACAGCCTCAAACGATCACAGGGATGTAACCTAGATTTTCAACTGTATCACTCGTTCCCTGTGGACGTACCACAGTGTACAGTGGTATCCTGTGGATGGATAGCCGTATTTAGCAGTCCACTGTGGTAAGGCAGAAGGATTTAGCGGTCCCTGTGGACGTACAACAGTGTATAGTGGTATCCTGTGGATGGATAGCCGTATTTAGCAGTCCACTGTGGTAAGGCAGAAGGATTTAGCGGTCCCTGTGGACGTACAACAGTGTATAGTGGTATCCTGTGGATGGATAGCCGTATTTAGCAGTCCACTGTGGTAAGGCAGAAGGATTTAGCGGTCCCTGTGGACGTACAACAGTGTATAGTGGTATCCTGTGGATGGATAGCCGTATTTAGCAGTCCACTGTGGTAAGGCAGAAGGATTTAGCGGTCCCTGTGGACGTACAACAGTATAAAGCGGTCCACTGTGGACGTACAAGTATATCAACCCGTCCCCTGTAGGTACAACTGCCCCTGTACCACAGTATGAACCGCCCATTTGGATGTACCACAGTATGAACCGCCGATATGGATGTACCACAGTATGAACCGCCTATATGGATGTACCACAGTATGAACCGCCTATATGGATGTACCACAGTATGAACCGCCTTTATGGATGTACCACAGTATGAACCTCCTATATGGATGTACCACAGTATGAACCTCCCATTTGGATGTACCTCAGTATGAACCGCCTATATGGATGTACCACAGTATGAACCTCCTATATGGATGTACCACAGTATGAACCTCCTATATGGATGTACCACAGTATGAACCGCCTATATGGATGTACCACAGTTTGAACCGCCCATATGGATGTACCACAGTATGAACCGCGCATGTGAATGTACGCCATTGTGAACCCGCCCATGTGGATGTATTGCGCATTAACCGCCGATATGGATCGATAATTGTTCGTGTGGGATAGAATATTTTGATTTACCAGAAAGGTAAGCATGTTTAATCAGTAATGTTGAAAACCTCTTCGAGCAAGTAACACAGTGATACCTTAACAAATGTTATATTTGGGATAACACCTTCTCAGTAAAGTACAAATTCTGGTTCTATTTTTTTCTTCTAAATGCCATCGTGTACACACAGTGATATCCTGTTTCCATGACAACATCATAATGTTGACAGAACCGTGGTCACATGTGAGTCGGAGTCACTATTGACGGAATATATGGAACATTCACGTCAAAGGCGTTTCGTCCGTGTACACAATTGTCAGCCTCACCAGCAGTTCAATATTCCGCCGCGAGTTTGAATTGTTTGCAACTGTAAAATTCAGTTAACGGATGAGTGGCTTGGGGGTTTGAATTTCACTCAATAAACCGAGCTATTGTGTTGAAGACGGGGTAGGACAATGGGCTTCGTGTCACGAAGTCCTACACGTATTTTAAACCACGGGATATATGGATGTGCGGGCACACCTGAAGCTCATGAATACCACACCCTGAAACATCGCTTATGGCGAGCTCGCCTTATTTCTCAACCCGGTGCATCTATTTTATTGTGCTTATTTCTATGTTTGTTATTTTACGCTGCAATCCACAAGATGCCTGCGATGTCACTGCTGCCTGTATATGATCGGGTGTGGGCCAGACAAAGACCTTAGTGTTTGATATTTTCAACATCGTTTCACACAGAGGGGTTATACTGACACCGAGTATGAGAACCAGTAGCTGCTTCACGCGTGTCCCAGGCGTCTCGGACCTCGCACCTCCTCAAACGTGCCATTATCGTGGGTTCGAATCCAAGATTCACAATTAATACGTCAGCATCATACCCTACCTCGTAGGTTTCACCAAAGTGGTAAACATCCCAGACTTGCATCACTTTGGACTTTCCTTCCAGTTTCTTTCATATTAAGCTGGCACAGTTTGATATAGCTGAGCTACTGTTTAAGGCGGCGTTAATCCAAACGAACTCTTTCATTCATGACGTCGCTTTGATTAGAATTCCAGTTATATCACGCTGTGTCATCTAAATATGGGACGAAAGCCCGTAGTGTTGCACCACTTTGATAAAACAGACGAGCACAAGTTTGGCACTGACAAAGCTAGAAACATAATCGTGGCGAACTGGGATTCGAACCCATAATTATAGGTTGAAGGTGGGCCCAAGGGACGCACAGCAAATTGCGGCGCCTAAGACGACTGGGCCACCCGTTCCCCCCAATTCATTCGCGGCGCACTGGGTGCACTGTCCCCAACAAGGTAGCGCTAACCTAGATAGGGAAATCCCTATTGTCTCGATCTAGATGGGACGTTTAACATTGAAATGAATACATGTCGACATTGTTATTCAGTAGCACATGCACAGACTCGAAGTGTTTATTTCCTTCACCTCTGTTTTAACCTGATAAGAAGTAAACTAATAACATCACACAATCAATAGGATCGTCAGCATGTGCAGTCTCGATTTATTATTCAGTGCATTTTTTATGCAATTTAAAAGATGCATGCACATTTGAAGAGATGTAATAGGATAGTCGCCGTGTGTCGTCATAGGCTCAATACACTTTTTGTTTCGGATCCACCACCGCCGGCATCGGCACCGGCACCACCACCACGACCTCCCTTTGTAGCATGTGGTAGACAGTAAAGTAACCTCAGAGAGGATTTTAATATTTTGGACCCCTCCCTTTAAAAAATGTTGGACCCGTCCTTACGAACGTCATTATTGTGTTGTCCTCGGTTCAGTGCACTGGTTATGCTGATCGTCATTCATAGACACAAACACTTGCAGAATACAAAGCAATGCATAGCAGGCAGAAGGGTGGATGTGTATAGATGGGCGTTGAAAGGGAGCTGGTTAAACCAGCAATACAAAAATAGAAAGTCGTGGGAAACATGTGTCATAAACCGTCTTGGTAGAGATAATACATTCAAGCACGCATGAGCCTCTAAAAAATGATCTTGTTGTGAGTTGGTCAGGTTTGACGCCGCTTGCTTTTGTAAATGAGAATTTGTTTGACAGTACTTCCGTCGCATTGCGGTGTATTAGCTGGGTGGAAGAGGAAAGCGAACAGAATTGTGTAGGTTTTAAATGTTTACCACTTGAAACTCACCGGTGTCGTGCTGACAAACCAGTGACTATATATTGGTCAGAATCAACTACATTGTATCTTATCTGGAATACTCATTCCTCGTTTCATACTGACGCGTACTGTCGTAATATTGTTGAATATATCATTACTTGTATTCTTCCACTGTTGCATCATGTTGGGAAGGATAGCACCAATTATGCTGAAGACAAACGTCCCCGATGAAATGTTTGACGTCATTAGCAAATAAGCGTAACAAGGATCGATTCAGATAATATATATTAAAACATGTCTTTTTATGTATTGTTATTATTACTTGTTTTGTTTGTTTGTTGTTTAACGTCGCACTCAGCAATATTCCAGCTATATGACGGCGGTCTGTAAATAATCGAGTCTGGACCAGGAAATCCAGTGATCGATATCATGAATATCGACATCCAAGTCAGCGAGCCTGACAACCCGATCCCGTTAGTCGCCTCTTACGACAGGCATGGGTTGCTGAAGACCTATTCTACCCCGGATCTTCACGGGACACTCGTGAAATGAAATAAAAACAAAACAGATAATAAAGTAACGGATTTATCATATCTATAATTACAACAGAAAGAAATAACAATAGTTTGCTGATGGCAATGCGTTTACATTCAATCAAGTTGAAGACAGTCTTCCTTTTTTATATCAATAATGCAATAACACAGAAAAAGTATAACAATGCTTTGTTTGATGAAATCTACAACAGTGGGTACCGACCTCTGCTCCCTGAATGCATACACTTCCAGTGTGTTGCAATCGGACGTCTCGCGTTGAGGCAGTAACGTTAACTAACCTCCATGGATGTAACATACTCTGCTTGCTAAATATTTGCCATGATGTGATACACTGACTTGTCAAACTCTACTTTTATACCTTTCATTGCGGCGGGATTAAAACAAGGAAGTGATAGACATTAACACATTTTACTCAGTCTACTGTTAATTGCATTGATCTCGAAAAGAAAATTCATTGATACAGTCTATTAACACTTTTACTCAGCGTAAAAGACCCGCTGATATTCTATACCGGGCAGTGACCCAGCGTCCATCTGGTTTGATTGAACATCAATGGATTAACACATAAATTGCACTGATTCTACACAGGGATGAAACTGAGGATGAAGAATAGGATTTCGGTACATTTGGGGTTAAACCAGAAGCTCTGTTACATTCTTGTGTTCATTTCATTGTTTAATGTGATGTGTGTATGTGTATCACTGTTTCCACCCATGTGCAGAGAACCTGACATGCGTAAACAAATCCAGTATGTGTCACAATATTTACATAAAACACGCCACTTTATTAATGCGAGCAAGAGACACTCGCTTTCATGTCATGATGTACATTAAATATTAACAGGGCTTCGTGTATTTTGCAGGTGTTGGTGCTACCCTCCAGGGCAATGAAGCAATACTTTCGGTATTTTCTGTGTATCATCGCAGCCTGTGCGTGTGTGTGTCTCCTCTTCATTAATGTGCCGTACATGCACGTAAGTGATATCTATTATTTAAGGTGTGAAGAAGACCCCCTTAACATCTTTGATTCATCCTATTTACGGTGTATCTTAACACTGTCATTCATGTGACGTAAAATAAATTATGTTTCAGGAATACAAAATTAAGTTGTATTAAGATAATGCCCTCTGATCCACTTTATCATTGAAAAGGTTGTAAAAATGTTTTAAATTTTCTGAGATTTCGATCTCAATGCTAAGTAAGTAAGTAAGTAAGTAAGTAAGTAAGTAAGTAAACTGCAAGGCAAAAGAAAGTATACACCCATGTTTCATGGTGTCTAAAATGAAGCAAACAAGAAAAAGATCACTCGATGGCGATGTATTTGATACGAGTGTTACAGATGTGTTTTGGATCTTGTTAACGTCTGTAATTCCTTTGTTAAATCTAATATTCAAGTGTATGCTTTCTTTTCCTGGCAGTTTAGTTTTCCTCCAAATTATCCTCTACAAAAAATCTATTACTTTACTATATAAAAAGAGGCAGATTGGAAATATGTGGTATTCCATTCTATTTATGGCAAATATTCATTGAACTTCGAAACAGGAAGGTAACAACACGAAGAATGGTACTTCTTACTACAAGACAAAACATCACCAGTTTTCCGGTAAAATTTGCACCTTGAGATGCAAAACTTTTCACTGTGATAAACCGAAAATAGGTTTCTTTATTTCAAATGACACCAACATATCTTTAACATATCATCTTAAAACATTAACATCAAACTGTCATTTTCACTTTTTCGTTATGGATTATGATTAGACCTTCATAATATAGACATTTGGGGAATAAAGTGATCAGCATCTCTTCCAGTTTCATTTCTTCACTCACTTCGGAAACAGGGCAGCCTGGGAGTGAAGTGGTACCAACATCTTTCTATTTGGGAAAAATAAAAACATCAATCAATAAGAAGTGTACTTCTGTAAGATGCCGTACTGGTCAACCCACTGATTTTCACCAGTTCTTTCCTTATTTCATCAAATTTTATTTTCAGTTCTGACTTCATGGCTCCCAGCTTTCAATTTATAATTAGAGGCGACTTAGATTAAGACGATTTGTGAAAAGAATTCTTAAATCTCTTTTTATATTTCTTTTTCAGAATATCTCCCCGTCTGTATATTTTTATTTGACCAATTCATCCTCACAGCTGATAACCAACATAAGTGCACGTGGTTCCAACATCCCTACCATCGCTTCTACTCCGATTCCGTCCAAGACTGTGTCACCTCAGAAGACTTCATCAGCAAAGCCCAGTGTCAGCCTCACAACCCCCAAGCCCACGCCACCCAGGCCAGTGCCCAAGCCTTTCAAGGTCAGTAAACTCACTAGTTCTGATTGTACACTACAAGAGGCCAAAAGTCATTAGTAAAACTTACAGAAGTTATATAAGCCTTACCTAATTACTTGAAGGGGCAGTGGTCGAAATAAGAGTATGAATGCAATTTTTTAAAATGGTTTATAATGACCAGTCATATGGTTTCTTGGCTTCCAGAATTGATCTTCTTTTAAGCTCTATTAACAGACATATGCAGGGTCGAAACACACATAGAAAATGCACGACATGAAACGTTTAAAACATCACCTTGCCCATTCGTTCCACGTTGGATTGTGTGCCATTGAATCTGGTGGTGACTAGTAGCACAACATGGACACACACCATCTACTAATTCTCTCTCAGTGAGGAGCGTGTCGTTCTTTTAGTTATTCAAAATCATGCTTCACACTCGGATATGATGACACGAGGAAAGGGAAATGTAATTTGCTTTTGTGGTAGATACTATAACATTGTTTCTTAACAGTTCTGATCTTTCCCACAGCTTTTCAAAGGACGATAACACTAAATAAATTTAATGATACCAATTCTGAGTCATTTGTCGGATGCTTCACTCAATATGTCTTGTTGCGATGGCTCATTGAAGTTTTGGTCAAACAAATTTTATAACTATGTATCCGGTAACGAGAAGGACCAACCATTTAACTTTCTTCTTACACCAATAACAAGTCTTGCCGAAAGCTAATCAAAATATTTTTCCTTTTAAAATGAGACATATGTTGACCTTCCTCCCGACGTTCCTTTCTTTGCCAGGGCGGTCGGGTAGCCTAGTGGTTAAAGCGTTCGCTCGTCACGCCGAAGACCCGGGTTCGATTCCCGACATGGGTACAATGTGTGAAGCCCATTTCTGGTGTACCCCGCCGTGATATTGCTGGAATATTGCTAAAAGCGGCGTAAAGCCATACTCACTCAATTTCTTTGCCAATTACTCTGCTACTTGTAGTAAATATATATTGATCAGGGTAAATGAATCTAAAAGGTCACTTGCTCCAATGAAAGTTCTGTCACTGAGGCAGATATGTTAACTTTCAAATAAATACAGACCATTTTTAGTTATATTTTCCTTTGGATCCCTGACAACGTTGATTCGGTGACGTTTGAGTCATTGAATCATATCTGTTATTCCGATTCCTCTCTTCACCAGAGAGAAGTGTCGTATGGGAGAAATTAATACATCTGACATAACATAATTCATCCAAAGGTGTGTGACTCTTCTCTTGATTTTTATATTTTTTTAAATAATTGTAGTTGTAATTTAAATGACGATTTCATTGCAGCGGCCGCCTTGCTATGGAGGTAAAGTTCCCAAAGATAGATTTGATGTATACAACAAATCGGAGCCATTGGAAGTTACAGTTGTCACAGCTTATTTCAACTTGGGACGATTCCAAAAAGGATCTGGAGGCTTTTTTGACACAAATCTTTACATGAAGTGGGCGAACGTATACCAATATATTAGAAGCCCATTTGTGTTTTATACCGACTCGCCGGAAACTGCTGAAAAATTCAGAAAGATGAGAGCAGGGTACGAAAATATTACAAAGATTTTACTGGTGGAAAGAAAAGCAGTGTGGGCTTTTGATTATGTAGAACGGATTAAAGCAATTTATTCAATACCGGGATACCCTAAGCACCACCCGAACACAGTTGTGCCTGAGTATTCGTGTGCCCAGCACGCGAAGTATGCAGTCGTTGAAGAAACCGTCCAGAAAAATTACTTCAACACGACTTATTTTGCTTGGGTGGATATAGGATATTTTAGATATATCGTTGGACGGAACAAAGAGTTTGTGATAGTAAAACCAGCTGATTTCAACGAATCTCGAATCGCGTTGAACAAAGTGTACGATGTGAGTATGGACGTGAAAGTGGACAGTATTTTCAAGGGAAATCGGGTGTGGCTTGGTGGAGGGATGTTTTTCGGGTCCAAGTACACACTCCCGACTTTTATAGCCGACTATCGACACGCAGTTGAACGTTACCTGAATATGTCTCTTAGTAGCACAGATCAACAAGTGATTTATTCGATGAACACTATCAAAGAAAAGCCTTATGTGAGAAGACGGGTGTCCATACAGGCATATTCCGCGAACGTTGCCGGTGATTGCTGGTTCTACTTGGGATTCTCTTGTTACAGAGAGTTATCATGATCACCATATATAGTGCTATATAAAATGATCTTAACTGTATCGTTAAAATGATTATGCTTGTGTTTTCAGTAACTGATGTTCTCCGTGTGATTTAGGCCGACTGTACCTCATCGCCGTAAATTGGTGACTTACACGGATGGCTTCTGAGTATGATGTGCGAGTGAGTGAGTTTGATTTAACACCGCTTTGAACAGTATTTCAGTGTTACTCGGCGTGTAAACTAAATGTGGGAGAAAAGTCCGAATTGATGCAGTCATACAAGCTTTTATAAATCCCCGTAGCACGGGTATGGTGCTGACAAACCAAGGTTCATAACCGGACTTACTCTTGGATTCGAACTAGGATTCAAGCACACCTAAGGGACGCAACTCTTCAGTGGGAATTCCGGCGCGTCTGACACATGTCTAATTTCCCAGGACCAAATACATGTTGTCAGAACAAATTAAGCTGGAGACAAGTGGTTGTGACCTGTCTGATATGCGTATTATTGCGCCCAGGCTGTGACTCTAAACATTTAGAATGAGTGAATGGGTTTGGGTTTGGGTTTTTACGTATCATTTAGCAATATTTTAGTAATATCAAGACGGGGAACACATGGGCTTTGGGCTTTGGGCTTCTTCCTTTTAAGCCAGACATTGTAAAGAACATATACACTGGTTGTCAAACAATTCATTAAGTCCATAATCATTAAATAGTTGTTTTCACAAAACAAATCTATGGGAGTTTATGGGCAATAATAAAGGTCCATTATGAGCGATAAAATTGAATAACATATTTGTCAGTTTGGGGATTTCCTCATTTGTTGCAATATTATGACAAAATATGACAATCAGTTTATACGTTTTAATATACAGTGGTTCTTTTTCAAATTGACCGTAGATAATGAAATGTGGTGTTGATTTTGATGAAGACCAGCTGCAGTCTTAATACTTTATATATGTACTCTTTCATTAGGATATTTATTTTCAAATTCCAAACTGCCCAAGTCATACATTAAAATCGGGACAATCATTGTGTCACATGTGTCACATACAATATAAAGGAGTTAATATTTCGAGCTTTCTTTAATGATGCAAACAGGTGTTTTTTGCATTTCCCAGTAACATTTTAACTATTGTGAATACCCGAACATGTTTCTCGGTAAGGTAGCATATGTGATTGCTGTGAAAATAAAGATTATTAGAACAAATAACACCATCTCTCGCTGGGCATTGTTCATATAGACAGAGTACATATAACGACTGGAGCAGTCCATTATTCTATATTATGCTTATTGCACCCCCTTCCTTTTTTCGGAGTCATAATGGGAAAAGTCATAAAAGCTATTTAAGCAGTATAAATGGATTTATGTTGGATGGATGGGTGGTGGTAACTGAAGAAAATGTTAAAAGTCCACCTTAGTAAAATCTAAACATGTTTTAAAGTTAAAATTCTAAACATGCTTAGATTTGGGGATGTTGCGTTTAGGTGGTGTTTAGGTCGTGAGACGATAGCTCATTTCATGTGTTTAGACCTAAATGCGTTTAGATTGTTTTAAACGAGTGACCATTATACAACTTTTACTTATATTCTGATAAACCAACAAATGTATTTTCCATTTTTTAATATTTTAAGAAACGTTTTGTGAAAGGTGTGAATCACTGTTATGAAGATGTATATATTGTCAAATTGGAAATAAAATTATTTTTCTCCTACTTATGATGTAGACATATCCTTGTAATATATCCCATCCAACAAAACGTTTGGGCCTACTTGGGGTTAATGTGGGCTGGGAAATAGATACTAAATTGGCAACCATATGTGACCCCGTTTTGGGTTTGTCCAAGGCTCCAAATGGATCCTGAGTGGACAGACATGTATAGCTCGTATGGGGCTTCGATGGGTTGGGTCAGTGAAGGTGTTTCTGTGTTCTTTTATCATATGCAACCCTTTTGTAGCATCACTACCTCATATATTCACATGTGTATAAAAGATTGAGGTTTATATATTCCATATATATATATATATACGTGTAGCATTATTCAGAATACAAATACTTACATACGATAAGAAAGAGTTTGGAAGCAATGTTAGCCAGGGTGTCGTTGTACAAAGCGATCTCAACGCTAAGGTGATCGTAACTCCCATACCTTAACATAGACTTACGAGAGTCGTAGCGCTTAGGTTGTTTTGTACAACGACACCCAGGACGCTAGGGGGATCAGCTCCTATATCTGTGCTTGTAAACCTCTGCAGCTTGAGACCTTTTCCCAAATGTAAAACAGTTTAGACTGTTTAGCGAGGCGACTAAACATGCCGTCTGAAACACTTTGAACCGATACTAAAGAAAGAGAGTGAGTGAGTGAGTTGGGTTTAACGCCGCTTTTAACATTATTCCAGTTATATCACGGCGTGTCAGCTTAATGTGGGAGGAAAGCCCGAAGTTTACCACTTCGGTGAAACCCACGAGCACGGGTTTGGTGCTGACAAACCTAGAAACATAATCGGGGCGAACCGGGATTCGAACCAACAATCATGGGTTTCTGGCGTGCCCAAGGGACGCAACTCTGCACAGCGAATCGCGGCGCCTTAGACGACTGGGCCACCCGTGTCCCCCTAAAGAAAGAGATTGTGCACTACCTTTACCAACATGGCGGGAGGAGTCCGGTAAACTGCTATCATACCACACTTTGTTTCAGTTGGTTGCTGTGTTGGACATCTGATTGCATTTTATAACGTCATGACAATGAAATGACAAGGAGTCCGATTCACAAAGCGTCCGTACATGTAACGTAGACAGAACGTAAGAGTTTACCATCAAAGTTGAGATAATTTTGCTATTATTTACGACCAACCCACAAAGCGTTCTTAATCCTTTCGTAAACTCGTGTCTTACGAGCATTGTGGCTCTGGTGATGGAGGCGGAAATAAATGGGTATTTCCCAATGACGTCAGTACTTAGGTATAAGGTATAAGGGATCCATATATGAAGCCAGACAGTCTCGGAAATATACTTATGTCATAGAAAGATTCCTTGATGACGCGTTTGTCGGATGTTGTCTTTGGGAACGATATTAGCTTTGGTTGATTGATGACGTTTGTGTGAATATATACCCGTGACCAAGTGGACTGGAATACCCCAGGTAAGTCCGTTAATTCAGTGAAATGCGATCCTTCACCATATAATCTGGGGGGCAACCAAAACCTGTGGTTCCGGGCACGATGCATGAGAACGCTCTGGGTTTTTGTGTGAGTTGAGTTCAACGCCGCTTTGAACAGTATTCCAGTTATATCACGGCGTGTCAGCTTGATTTCGGAGGAGTGGGTGAGTGAGTGGGTTGGGTTTAACGCCGCTTTTAACAGTATTCCAGTTATATCACGGCGTGCCAGCTTAATGTGGGAGGAAAGCCCGAAGTGATGCAGGTCTCAGACGTTTACCACTTCGGTGAAACCCACGAGCACGGGTATGGTGACAAACCTAGAAACATAATCGGGGCGAACCAGGATTCGAACCCGAAATCATAGGTTTCTGGCGTGCCCAAGGGACGCAACTCTGCCCAGAGAATTACGGCGCCGTAGACGACTGGGCCACCCGTGCTCCTCCATGATGTTGGAGGAAAGCCCGAAGTGTTGCAGGTCTCAGATGTTTTCCACTTTGGTGAAACCCACAAACACTGGTATGGCGCTGACACACCCAGAAACATAACGGGATTCGAACCCACAATCATAGGTTTCTAGCGTACCCATGGGACGCAACTCTGCACAGCAAATTGCGGTTCCTAAGACGGCTGGGCCCCCCGTGTTCCCGAGGGAAGTAAGATGAGGCGATAGTGGGTTTACAAGCTTAACACTGGCATAAAGTGGAAGCCTGTAGCACCGGATGATGCTGTCGTCATCAGAAGAGCGTTTCAAGGACCCTAGTTAGGTCTCGGTTTGTTTGTTTGTTGTTTAACGTCGCACTCAGCAATATTCCAGCAATATGACGGCGGTCTGTAAATAATCGAATCTGGACCAGACAATCCAGTGATTGAAAGCATGAGCATCGACCTAGGATAACATGCATCACCCGATCACCCGATTAGTCGCCTCTTATGACAAGAATGGGTAGCTGATGACCTATTTTAACTCGTAATCTTCACGGGACAGTTCGGTCGTGACACCCTTGGTGGTGACAGTGTTGCTTCTTCTTCAAATAAGCCAAGCAAAATATAAGCCGCCATCTTGATACTAAAATTACAACTCAAATGTTTGATTTACGATAGGTACTTCTGGAATACTGTAAGGGCCATTCTCGCTATCTCGCAGTCTCACGATGTCGACCTATGGAAACGAGCTAAATATGCCCAAAACACGAGAATGCGAGATCGCGAGAACGCGAGATTTGGCCAAAATCTCGTGTTCTCGCGATCTCGCATTCTCGTGTTTTTTGGTACTTGGCACTTTTTGACATTTCATTTTCTCGCGATCTCGCGTTCTCGTGTTCTCGCGTTTTAGACTCTGTCCGTGCGCATGAGTAATATCATAAGGTCAAGGCGCATGCGCAAGTTAGTAGTCCGGTGGTCTCATGCTTCTTTCATGCTCTCCATTCTCCAAGTAGCATTTGGCAAACTTATGACTTGAGCTTGAGAATGCTATCATGAAATTTACTTACACAAAGTCCTATGTAGCCTAGAGTAGAGTCCTCTCCCTTTGGTACATTCCCGTTTGTACGTTAAATTAAAATCCTCAACGTGCTCAATATAATTTAACAAAAGAAATTGTGTACATGAATGTCCAGTGATAGTTAAAACATTATAGTGTGAGGAAACTGGAAACAAAATATCACTGTCAGTTAATATTGCTCAAAGCCACATCAGCAGTATTGCAGCTATTCGCGGCGACACCATCAGTCATAGAAATAATCATAGGCCAGTGGTTTTCTCCACGAGGCAATATTATTAACGGCTAGCATATTCATCAAAACAAAATTCTCAAAGACCAATTTGTAGCATTCCGCTAAAATGAGATTGTCCGATGTTTTTACACGACTCCATAGTCGCTACTTTAGGCCATATTAATTAATAGATTTTCATCGTCTCCCACCTAACTACAAAACATCCCGCCTTACATTATTCTATTCCCTCAAAGTTCATAGAAATAGAAATATCGCTAATATGTGTGTTCCTACTCCGTACACGTAGCCCTACTGAACACGCATGATACAAGTGAATCGCATGCCTTCGACAGCAATTGTACACAGATGCCCCAAATAGTTCGATAAGAAAACAATAAAATGTTAAAAATAAAATGCGTTCGGTCTCCCATGTATTTTAAAATTCCGGCATGGCTCTGAATAAGTGAGTGAGTTTGGCTTAACACCGCTTTGAACAGTATTTATATTTCAGTTATACCCTGGCTTGTCAGCTTGAAATTGGACGAAACCCACCATCATAGGTTTCTGGCACACCCAAGGAACTCTACACAGCGAATTGCGACGCCTCAGACGACGGAGCCACTAGATGACTATATAGGTAACACCGCAAACACGAAAACGTCGTTTTTTCCCGTAAATGGTCATTGGACGGAAAAACGGCTAAAAATTCATTTAAATTGATTAATTGGTTAGCGTCTAGAAAGTGTCCGGAAAAGCGTCGAGTTTTTCAAGCGTAAAATGGACGATGCTTTTTGCTCCGCCTTGTACAACTGTTAACGGCCAATCAGATGGCGCTGGTCCCCCGACGCATTAGGTTTCGTATTTCTGGCATGTATCACATGCAGTATACAGTATGTCAAGAGATATATACAGTATACCACATGCGGTAATATACAATGTACCGCGAGCAGTGTGCGCTGGGCAGTAGCGCACATTTCCTCCCCCCTCTCCCTCAAGCAAGCCCCTCGTGGGGGAGTGACCAGGTCACAGGTCAGGCGTGCACTGGACAGCTGTTTCACTGGGGGCTAGTGAGGGATGCGGGAGGCCGGCCATACATACTCTTGGAGTTGTGGGACTGCAACTTCATGCTGTTGTCTTATAAGGCCAAGAGTAAGATCACCAGGACGACCACTGCACGTGAGCCATGTGGGTTGTGGACGAGATACTACATAGCATAGCTATATTACCTTATAAAGAATAGTAATGAAAGTTAGAAAGTCCATCAAGACCGGCGCGAGCTGGCAGTTGAGATCTGGGAGCTGAACACGAAACAGCTCCCATGCACAATAAAACGTTGTGGACCCGCAGACGTTGTGTTGTATACTGAAGAAGTATCCCCTAGAACAACATACATTTTCTACGGCGGATATATTGGTGGAGCTTCGATCCTCGGTACCTCAAACCCAAAGCACCAAGATAAAGAAGGTAGTCAACACGAAGTGAATTTCTATTATTCGTCTGGGGTCCACAACATCATCTACAACATCATCCACAACTTCATCCACAGCACCATCCACAACAGCAACAACGACGGCCACAACAACAGCAATAACAACAGTCAGCACTCTGGTTCATGTGGTTGTCTACTCTCAAGCTATTTCATAAAGCTTGATATCGGCTCATCATTATTGTCTTCATCGTTTTCCCTACTCTGAGACCTTGTCACCACCCCTCCACCGTTAGCTGGGACCGGCAACTTCTGGGAAGACCAGTAAAAGAAGAATCTGAAGGTTATTTCAGCCATCGCAACCGCCCTATACCACTAGGAAGGTAAAAGACCAGTGAAGCGTTACACAGTCCTTGTTAAATATCATCAACTACAAGATCATTGCCTGAACCAGAGAAGTCTCAGCTTTCTTCATTCTACTGTGTGTCTGCAGTGTGTCTATTGTTTGTCTGCAGTATCCTCTCTCAAGAAACATTTCTCAAGAACGTAGTGACATTTGTTTTCTGAAACGAACATTTTATTAAAATTATCTATAATAGCTGTGTGTCAGTATATCCAGTTTCTGTCACTGCAGAAAAATACCAAGTCGGTCAGCTGTGAACACGGTTTTTCAGCATCGGGCATCAGCTGATTTTCTGACGTCCTTGACACACAAAGACCTCTTGACATGATGTAACTTACCAGGGAGAGGGGATAGTCGGATTGCAGACACGAGGTGGATGTCGTCCAAATAGTGTTACGAACTACCAGAAACCGTTTCATAGATCATGCTTTCTGTCTAGGAAACTATTCATTACTGCTGTACAGTATCAATTATATTAGAACAGTAAAGGAAAATAACGACACCAATTCTCAGACTGTTTAAAAATTATTATATTCCCAGGATATATACACAACCGGGCAAAAGAAAATGCCTGCCATTCTAATATCACTCCTGTGTACAGTGAAATTGCGACCCCCGTGTTCCTTAAGACGTCATGTCCACGTCACCTGTTATGAGACACTCATTGATATGATGCATGTAGTATCGCCTAAGATACCCGAAGCAAATATATCTCCATCGAATAACCATTTTTAACCACCACCAAACAGGGGTGTATACTTACTTTTGCCCGGCAGTTTACACAAGCTACAATTACTTCCCAATCGTTCGATCACTGAGACGATTGGAACATGGTGGTCGCAATTGCAAATTGCACAGTGAGGTGAGGTGAAATGGGGTTTAACACGTGTGCGTGCTTGCGTGCGCGCGTGCGTGCGTGCGTGTGTGCGTGCGTGTGTGTGTGTGTGTGTGTGTTAATGTGGGTTTGTTGGATATTACATAAAACATTCATCTTGAGCGGGATGGTAGTTCGAGTTGGATAAGCATGTTAACTATGATCTTCTTAAGGTAGAGAATGCCGCGCATGAATGTATCAATGAGATTCTCGGGTACATGGGGGCTTTTCGGCAGGAATATCCACACAGAGGAGACTTGAATGGGGATCGGGTGAACATAATATGGTACCTGGTAGATTGTGTGTCATCAAACCGGACAACTTTGGTCTTTGACTGATTGTGGCGTAAAACACACTTATTCATTTACTTGTATCGGAAATTGAATGGTCATTTTAATTGTTTTTGATGAACACGTAATATATTTTTAAAGAAATAAAACAGTGACATAATAACTACAACTTTATGTGGGTACGAGTAGCTCTATTGGAGATGGAGTTGAATAAGTGTTATAAAGCTTCTTCACAACCGTGTAACCATGAACCATGACTTTATTGGGTAACCCAAAAAGACATATCGACCTAAAATAGCCAAATATCATACGATTTTACTTGTCCGCCATCTTGGATGCAAGGCGAAAACATTTCAGCGCGTTTGAAGCTGCTGAGAATGCCCCCTCAGAGTTGGACGAACATTCTGTGGTAGCGCGGCGGTGTTGACCAGAGACGATTTAGGTCCGTTGTGTGTGTGTGTGTGTGTGTGTGGGGGGGGGGGGGGGGGGGGGGGGGGGGGGGGGGGGGGGGGGTTGAGAGTGGGGGATAGATGATTGATTTAACAGCAAGTAAGGTCATCTTGAGCGGGGCGGTTTTCGTAGATGGATTAGCATATGAACTATGATTCTCCTTAGGTAGAAAATAAAGATAAACGATGTTCGACCTGGTAGAAGCGTGTCAAAACAAACTCATTCATGTATTTGATCTGAATGTTCATCTGAATTGTTATGGATAGTCACGGAGCCGTGATCCAGAGAACAGGGTGTCATTAGATAAAAATGAAGTAATAATAGGATTACCAGAAAAACGGGGTATAACACCCAAGCCAATAAGCTTCGCTCAGGAACACCAGAGTTGGTCAGTTATTAAAATGAATAGCAAAACTGATGAAAGTCACCAATAAACGTGTATAAGTGTTATATCGTCACTGCAAAAATAATGAGTGTTTGTCTTTAGTATTAACATTCAAATACGTGATATCTGTATCAGCGATATTGTCTACGTTCCACCGGTGAGTAAGCGTCAGGCTTACTATCTCGTAGAAGAAAATGTTGCAAGAAATTGTATTTCTGAAGACATCACGCTACAGTTTTTACGATGCATCACGTCTGCACTAGCGCTTCAATTTATATGGAGTTACTTGTTTCTTTCAAAACTATACAGTTTTAGAGACTAAGCATTAGTCTGAATAGACATCACCAGTTTGGAATTTGAAACTAATCTGTTTTACAGTAACACGACACTGTTTAAGTGTCATGTACAAATGAGAAAGTGGAATATAATATCTGGCAATATACACCAAGATCACCTTCTACAAAAATAAGTTTGAAAGGCCGGTTGATATTCGTTTGCGTATTTGACGATTATATAACTTTCGAAAGTATAAATCCTTTTCCTATACTCAGACGTTCCTGAGCCTTGCGCTTTCCTAATTATTTTGACTAAAATCATTACCTTTATCATTGTATTAGTTAATGGGAAACGCGTGCCGATCGATCAAGTACGTGCCATAAATTAAAGCGACATTGTACGATTCCGAACTTATCACGAGACTGTGTTTATGAATCATTGTCAAATAGTGGTGACATAGTGGAAACGGTACGCGAAATCGCGCATGCACAGAACGGAAAATTTGGACAAGGCATCAAGCAATCCGCATGCGCAGAACGATTGATTTCAGTACTTCCGCTAAGCGCTTCAAGAACAGCGTCAAACTCGGGCCTGTAATCTAACACGCGATAACTGACCAATGAAATCTGAAAAGTAGGAATACCGGTAGACGCTGTTGCTTGATTGACAATGTATGTCAATCAAGCAAGGGAGGAGCTTGATGATATCGTTCTCTCCCAGTAAAATCCGATGTCAAATAACGACGTTATTTGGATGGAAAAACGATGGTTTGAAACTCATGAACACGTTCCTTATTTCAATATATTGTATTCAATTCCACCCATGACTGTACACAACATTTATATATTTTACATGTATACGACGGCTACATGGGCAAGTATAACGGTAAACACAAACGTGTGTTTGTTTAACATTTTTGTGTGTTGAAACACATTATATATTCAAGGTAAAATAAAAACATTTAGTCTGTTCGGTAACTAATTCTAGCTATTGTTTTCTGAATAAAATATTATTTACTTCAGGCATACACATATTATTTCGTGTCATGTGACATGTATCATAGGCAGTTTGGCAGGGTATATAGATTTTAACAGGGAGTCTATATATTTTATATATTCCCTTAATTAAGTAAGTTGATTATATGTATTTAAATAAACAAAGTGCTGCCAATACAAATTATAACAGCAGCTGGGGTATCATTACCAGCAGCACAGAGTCATGTGCGGGTCAGCGGGTTGTAATTAATGCCAGAGAATGGCCGGTTGGCCACTGAAGCTTAACTTTGTGGATGAGGTGCGGGATACTGCAGGCTGACCATGTATGTAACGTAACACGATACATTGCAGTCTGACAGTGAGGGTTAAAGATAGTACGCTTTCTGTGAGTGGGACTTGACCCTCGGACAGCGGCTAGGCAGGTTGGCCCTCAGAGATCCTGCTTGGCCATACTACTATGTAGTTATATAGACATATTAAGATCACGAATAAATGTTGTGGACCCACAGACGGACTTGTGTGTTGTCATAAGAGAAAT